AAGGGTCTGCAGAGCACCTAGTGCGTGCCAGGCATCTGAAGGGTCTGCAGAGCACCTAGTGCGTGCCAGGCATCTGAAGGGTCTGCAGAGCACCTCGTGCGTGCCAGGCATCTGATGCTAGCACCAGGCGTGCACAGACATCAGTGCTGTGCATACCCCGTGTGTACTCTGCACAGAGTATGAGCGTAGGCCGCGCAGGCGGTGGGTGGGTGTGGAGTCTGCACAGCCAGCTCTGGGTGGAGCTGCGGCTACTCACCACGTTGCAGCCCGCACAGTCGGGGCCATTCTCACAGGTCCTGCGGCGAGCTTGAATGCCACCCCCGCACTGGGCCGTGCAGCGTTCCCAAGGCCCCCAGCCAGTCCAGAACATGTGCGGGGGGCACAGCAAATGCTCATTGCAGTATCTGTAATAAGAACACCGAGAAGTAAAGAAAATCAGTGCTGTGGGAAGCCACTCTCCATCCCTGGCCAAGATGTAGAAGCCATGGGCATGCTGCGTGGGGCTTTGGCTGTCAGAGGGGTCGCCCTGGACGGGAGGCAGGTGTGGCGTTGGCCATGCCGAGTGCACAGGGGATGGGATGCGGGACAGACAGTGAAGAAAATGCAAAACTCACAATGCAGCATGGATCTTCCTGTGCAGCCAGGGGAAGGAGAAACAAGACAGAACAAACCCTTCAAATAGACACCCACGGACGAGAGCAGATAGAACATATCTAGGCAGGACATTTATCTTCCAAACACAAACACTGAGAGATACCATAGATTAGAAACACAAAGTCAGCATAGCTTTACTTAGATGTCATTTCTCACTTGTGAATTAAATATGTCCCACCATCTTCGTAGGATGAGTTAAGAGAAAAAAAAAAAAACAACAAAAAGCCTGAGTTTGACATAAAGGGCTATGCCGCGTAGTATTTAGTTTATATTATTATTAATATTATTATTATTTGCCAGTCCTGGGCTTGAACTCAGGGCCTGGGCATTGTCCCTGAACTTCTTCACTTGATCTTAGCCAAAAGGCCAAGAAGCGATTGTTCCTGAACTTCTTTTGCTCAAGGCTAGCGCTCTACCACTTGAGTCACAGTGCCACTTCTGGCTTTTTCTGTTTATATGGTGCTGAGGAATCGAATCCAGGGCTTCATGCATGCTAGGCAAGCACTCTACCACTAAGCCACCTTCCCACCTCAGTTATAGTATTTTAAAATTTATTATTAAGTTCTAACCATGACATCAAATAATTTCAAATGAAAACTTTAGTTATGCAAAAATTGAATCTATAAAAATTTACAAAAAGTTGATCTATTTTGTAATCATTAATTTCTATAGTTTTATGCAGAAAACTATATTGTCAATTTTTTAGTCAAATACCCAAAACCTTCTTCAGCTGTATGAGGAGTCAAATTTCTCACTCTTTAATACAAGTGAGATGATATGAAGTGAAAAATACAAACAAGGGAAAAGCTTAAAGGAAGCAGCCTGGAATTCCATAGGCCACAGCACATGGGGAGGGAGGGGTTACTGTGAATACTGCCAAAGTTAACGAGCCACATCTGGCCACTAAAAGGACTCCACGTCCAACAGGTCATCTACTCGGACCAAGCTTAGAGTCTAGAGAATATTAAAATGCAGGGCCTTCCTCTTGCCAAATCATCTGTTTTATGAAATAGGAGGCAAAAGTTCATATCTGCCTAAGTCACCTTCATGTGCGTGTGTGTGTGCATGTGTGCACACATGTGTGTGCATGCTTTTTGGTTGGCTTTTGCTTGCTGGTTAATTGGAAATGTGTCATGTATATTTCCTGCTATGGCTGGCTTCAAACTGCAATCCTAGATCTGGATCTCCGGAGTAGCGAGGATGACAGGTGTGCGCTGCTGGCATCCGCCACCTTTATGTCTTCGTGTCAGTAGTAACTGGATTCTGCAGGGTGTTAAGCGAAGGGCAGGGCAGAGCACTTCCTCTCACAGGTGCTCACAGCTTCATGTGAATGCAAGTAGTGGACACAAGCTCAGCATGCGCATGACAAGGAGCCTGTATGTCATGTAACACACAGTGACTGACACTGCACTTGATACACTACATGAGGTGCAGTTCTGGGGTTGAAAAGGAGGTTAAATGACAGCCATCACCCAAAAGAGGGAATCTGAGTTTCCTAACAGAAATTGTTGGCAAGATTCAAATGCTTTTCCATCATATCAAAAGACTTTAATGGGGAACAAGAGGGCTTCAGGAATAGACACAACATGACATAAGAAAGCCAAATGACACTGAGAAGCACCTGTTGGCATTTGGGAAGATAAAGAAAGGTAAAATTACAGTGATGAAGGATCAGTAATGGTGCTGAGGAGAAGAGAACAGGAAGAGGAGACAGCAAGTGGTAGTTAATTGGAGATAAGAGTCTCCTGGACATTATCTGTGATCTACTTTGCCAAATGGAATGGAAGAACTGGAACTCTATTTATAAAGAATCAAGAAAGTCTCATGGAACTCCATGGACAAAATAGCTCCATCAGAGTTATACTGAAGACTTATCTTCAAAGGATGTCGTCTCTTTTTACTGCTAGACTAGAACCCCTGACTTTGAGGGTTTCCATCAGTTTCAGCATGGAGTATGAGCTTCCAAATACAGAAGTAAGAACCAACAAAAGCAATCTGAAAGGGGAGGTACTGAAAGCTAGACAAATAGAAGGGTGGTGGAAAGAGAAAGCAGGTGCTGTTGAAACATGAGATGGCACCAGTAATCCTGAAGAGAATAATAAACAGTAGAATCCAGGATCTGTCTGTCAGCTGAAGTCTGCAAGTACTGCCAGTTCCGGTGGTGTACCATGGCCCAAAGCGCCTCCATAATCAAGAGCCATCCATAGGGTAGCTTCTCTATTCTTTTATATAAAAGAGTAGGCAGTGGCTTCAGTTCCTTATTGATCATTATTGGTCTTCTCTTTGTCCTTTGACGATTACAGGATCACTAAGTTCCTTTATTAAGGTACTGGTGAGTCTCCAGTGCCCAGGCTCTCAGGGTCATGTCACTGGATACTTGTAAATGCTAGAGAGAGAAGGGAGGGATCTAGGACAGTATGTGTGCTAGGTAGAGAAGAGCGCCAAGGGCAAAGTGAGGACACAAGATGCTCTTAGAAGGCTTTAGCTTGAGGAAGTTTGCACCAGTATGTCAAGTTACAATAAGCCAATGTCAATACATGTTGGTGCTTGGAGGATTCTAGGAAAAAGTTGCCATCGGTGGTAAGAACAATTTTTGATGACATCAAGAAAACTCAGACTGTCACAACATCCTCAGCCAATGCCCCTGTGTAGCTCCCTGGGGGTAAAGCAAGTCATTGAGGATTATTTTGAGCTCCATTTTTTATGCCAATTCACAGATATTTAAGTGCCCAGACTTCCTAGACCCTTGTATTAATTTGTTTTAAATGCATATACACACAAAGCCAGAGAGAGGAAGGGAGAGGGAAAGAGAAAAAGGGAGAGAGAAGCAAAGGAAAATCTCAAACACAACTGAACTACTGTTTCCCCAGAGAAAAACCAATTATCATGCATAAACACATTCTTGCATTCCCTTCAACAGGTCAGCAGGACATCCGGGTTGAAAACCTCCTGCAGGCTAAGCTGTGCCCCCAGCCCAGGGCTCTCAACCACAGTGTGCAAATCCTCTTGGAATGCTGTCCACAATGACATGATCTAGAGATTGCCAGCTACGCACCTTCCTTCCCCTGTCCTATTTTATGGCTGTCTTATGAAACAAGCCACACTAGGACTTCAATGAAGCATTTCTCTAACAAGATCTCTAACAAGGAAACGGAGAGGGAAGAAGAAATAATCAGGCAATGGATGGACCTAGGGAAAAAAAAAAGCATACCAAAGGAAATAAGTCAGAGTAAGAGAGTGCATGCTTTGCCTCATATGTGAAAGTTAACTAAAATTACAAACACATAAAAACATACATATATACACATGATCAAACTGGTAAGGGAAGGTATGGGTCTCCATGGTGTAACCCTTTTGAACAATTTGTACACATAAATGGATATGTACCACTATTTGAAGAGTAAGGATATAGTGAAAAAAATAAAGAAATTGTCAGGCTATGTCTTCTCTTTGTGCTGCATTTTCATCCAGGAATCCATCTGGGATGAGGAGGCTGGGAGGTAAGGCCTCCCCCAGCCTTCGCAGGTGTGTGCAAACAGTTTACCTTGGACACTTCTTCACCTCACCTGTGCCCAAAGAGTTGCTCAACAACGAGGATTCAAAAACAGTCACCTTAACACTTGGCTTTACTTAATGGTCTTTTATTAATCTATGGTAAAGTATCTAGATACTGAACTGGCATTTGGCTTCCACTCAGTAAAAATATGCAATAGTATTTTTGCAATTGTACCCTCCCAGGGAGATCATGGTCGCCTTTAATTCTGAAATATCTTCAGTGTTAATGTGAGGATTTTTTTTTAAATGTCATTTTAGTAGAGAGACCTCCCACAAAGCACAGCAAAGTATCTGACAACTTTTTTTTTTTTTTTTGCTGCAAAGCAAGGTCTACCAGCTACTTGGTTTTCTGATATTTTAAAATAATCTCCTGCTTTAGAGCTTTAACACTTTCCTGGATTAGGCAAACTCTTGCGTAGCCTCAATGAGCACATCTTCCTTATGGAAGGCGTACTTTACGTATCACCTCCTCAAATACACCAGCCCTGGCTTATTGTGAACCACCATGTGTGGAGACAGAACTTGCACAGATCTGCTCAGTGTCTTCCTTCCTCCGTCCTCAGTCTGGAAAAAAAGACGATGGTCCCTGTTAGATCAGTGACAGTGCCTGGGATCCAAGGAAGCCTGTGCTCCCTTGAAAATGGTGGGTGGATCAGCTTTCCCGCTGCCGACCAGTGGAGATGGCGAGGACAGGTCAGGAAACCACCTCCTAAAGTGCCCCGCCTCACGCGTGAAAGTCACCTTCCCTTCTCTCTTACAGGGTGAACCGTGAAATGATGAGGGGCAAGCTGCAGAAAGAGGAAAGTTCTGACTTCACGTGGTAACACATTCCTACTAGACACCCAGCTGTGAAGAAAGTTTAGATAAGCACATGACTGAATACAGTATTTTTGTGTCTGTGCTGCTTCTGAACCTTGAACTCAAGGCTTGAATGCTATCCCTGAGGGTTTTGAGGGTTTTGTTTTTTTCTTCCTCAAGGTTACTTGAGCCACAGCTCCACCTCTGGCTTTTTGGGGGATAGCTAATTGAAAATAAAGAGTCTCAGGGACTTTACTACCCAAGCTGGCTTTGAACTGTGATCCTCAGATCTCATCCTCCTGAGTAGCTAGGATTACAAGTGTGAGCCACCGATACAGCTTGCATACTGTATTGTTATAAGATTACACTGAATTTATGTCAACAAAATACAAGTCTACTGTTCTTTTAATAGGCCCTGGTAGCCATTTATGATTCTTGAAGTGATAGGGAACTCACCATCATGAATCTCTCCCAACACAGACAAACTGGAGTACACAGTACACGTACAAGGACGGTTCAACAACCACAACTGTCCACGTTGAGGCCCTGACCAAATGATTCATAGTAGACCAAGAAACAGAGTGTTACATCCAAAATGAAGCTGAAATGTCACGGTGACGTGTAGTTCATGGAGGCTGGCCTGTCACTGTAAACGCAGCCAGTGCTGGAGTGCGGTCTTCCCTGCACTCCCAGCGCCTCATTTAGTTCTCCTGGAAACGCTGCCTTACCTGCCCGCCTCACCTGCAGCCCTCCAGGGAGCTATGGCTGAGGGACAGGTCTAAGCTGAAATCAGGGCAGCCACTTCCCACTCTCTTTCCCACTCTCCAGGAGCTTGGCACAGAGGCGCGGGGGCCTCGGTCTCCAAGGCCCTGGGCACGCTCCGAGGCCCTGGGCACGCTCCAAGGCCCTGGGCACGCTCCAAGGCCCTGGGCACGCTCTCCTCCGCTGACCCCACCAGGATGGAAGAGAGGGTCGGGGGAGGAGGGGACTGGTCAAAGACCAGAGGATGTCAGCAGAATGAGGCCTGCTCAGCCCCACCCACAGGGAGGGGATCCAAAGCCAAGCCCGACCCCGCGGGATGGGAAGCAGCAGCAAGCCATGGTCGTGCAGGCGCAGCGAGCTCCTACCTCTCCTCGCGGTTCTGCCCCACGCACACCCGGCCCCCGTGCCGGGGTGTGGGGTTGCTGCAGGACCGCTGCCGCACCTGGAAGCCGATGCCACAGGTGGTGCTGCAGGGCGACCACGAGGTCCAGGGGGTCCAGCCTCCGTTCCTGCGGGGAGAGAGCAAGGCGACCGCCGTCAAACAGGCTGGAGCCCCGGCCCGCCCAGGCGCGCTGCGCATCTCCCAAGCGGAGCGCAGGGCTGTGAGCACACCACAAGTCATCTCAAAATGTCCAGCAGGACGCTGTTCACCATAACGAGTGTGAGCAGCGCATGCTCCGTGCTCCCGAATTCGTGGTTTCAGTTGACCTGCGTTACACCGCGTGAACACTGCACACTTCCGAACAAACAAACACGACACGGGACGATCTCCTTAACATGCATCAACACCAGGGGGAAGAATCAACAAAATTTTGACGTGTGCAAATTGCGTAGATCTAGATGTATTTACGCTATGCATGTAGAGAAATGCACGTATGTAAGTGTGCATGCACAGTAATACATGTATAAATTGAAAGTGAGATGCATGTTTCAAAAGATTTTATTAAAAAACCCACATCTAACAGCAAGTGCGGTGTTTTTCAGTATTGTGTTTTCTTCCTTAGAAAATCTGTTATTCAGACATCATAATTTAAGCAGTTTAGCCTGCTGTTAAAAATCAATTCTAGGTACTATATCAATTTCAGTTCAAAGTGTAAGTCTGTGTCAACAGAACACTGCCTGTGGAGTTTTTCTTTAGTCTGCAGCCATATATGAATCTGCATAAATATATATTTTCACTCCTAATATTTGCATTTTCTTTGAAGCAATAAACTCCTATTAACACTAAATCTCACTTTATATAACCCTTTAAAAACATGAAGGTCCATAACTATACCACTGAAGATACAAGTATAAAGACTAAATCCACTATATAACTTTAAAAAAATCTTTAGAGAAAATTCTTAGTATATTCCCTGTTCTCCACTTTAGTTACATAAATTTAACATTGATAGAACTAACATGCATACTGATAGCTTTGTAAATATTACAATAAAGCTTGCTTATGATGATTTAACGAAAAGCAACGGATTCTGTCATATTTCTCATAACGTATTTAGCTAATTTCTTATGCCCTTCAACCTACAAAATTATCAAAGTAATTTACTTTACTACTAAACAACATACATATTAATTTCAACTTACAATAAGATAAAAACTTGTTATTTCTAGGTTTCTTACCAGTTGAGCAAAATTATTAGAGCAGAAAAAAAACACAAGGCTTTCAAAAATCATTTGGAGTTTCTTAATTTCCTAATAATTTTCAGGAAGATAGAATTTTGTGATGTATTTTGTTCCTAATTCTTAAAGCATGGTGGACATAGAGTGGTAAGTAAATAAAAACAGAGATAGTATAATAAAAAAATAAATTAAGCAATTTTGTTTGTATGAACTTATTGAATAGATCTAGTCTTACATACTTCTAAACATACTTACAATCAAGACACAGTGATAAGCAAACCAAAGGCAGCTTTTGTAATCCCGTGTCAGCAAGGAACTTTCTGATGAATGTCAATCTCCACGTGCATATCACTTATACACATAAAGCATCACTAGGAGGGGTTCACTATCTTAATTTAGAATCTTAAAACAAGCACTACTTGTGTTGCAAGGCTGGTGAGAGGGCCACTTTCCAACTAGAGGAACAGAAGACTTCTCAACAAGCAAGTCACTTTGTGATTAAGCAAGATGAAAAAGTATTAAGTATTTATCAAACTATCCAAAAAGTAACAGCTGGTTTCTTTTTTATCAAGCTTCTATCAGACATCCATAGAAATCACAGAGCTGCAGTAGAAGCAATAATGGTAACAATTTTGATTGCTCTTTCTCCATTACATGAAACAACTCATCTCTTGCAATGTCACTGGCTCCTTACAAATTAGAAAAATGCCAAGAGAGGGAGGGCCAGGCCTGTCTTCCCCTACCCGCACTTCCCTGTAGAGAGGGAGGGTCAGGCTTGTCTTCCCCACCCCCACTTCCCTGTAGAGAGGGAGGGTCAGGCTTGTCTTCCCCACCCCCACTTCCACTTCCCTGTACTGTGCTTCTTCCTCTGGCTCTGGGTTCTCACACAACTCTGTCATCTCCTCTGATGTTCACTTTCAGTGACTTCACCGACAACTGTCCCAATGAGTTGTGCATTTTAGATAGGCTCATAGAAAGCAGGTAACACTTTGGTAAAATGTCCTGGCCATCAACAAGGGAGTTTAAAGACTGCCTTTGGAGACTTTTCTGCTGTTGGTGATTATGGTGCTGTAGGGGTAGTGGAGGAGGAAATAAACGAAACAGAGTTGTACAAAAAAACCCACCAAACAAAAGCCCAATGATCAGAGGAGCCCTACGGAATGGATCGTGGCATCTGAACTGGCCTCCTCGATGGACCAGGTCTGAGGTTAGGAGAGCTGGGAGATCAGAGTTCTGACATTTCACAGAATGGAGCAGAGATCTTTGACTAAGATTTTGACTTTTATCTTCCAACTAACCTATCACACTCGACCAATAGGGATTATTGGTCCATATATTCTAGAGAATGACTTTTAGGTAACATAGGCCAAATACCCCAATCATATACAGCAACCTTACTGAATAACAGTGACATTTTCCTAACTGAATGATGAAAACATATTAACATATGTTAACATAGTAACCTATGTTTAATTAATTTATAGTTTAAAATTTTCTCCCATAAATCTCGTAATTTTGTTTTTTGTCAGTGCTAGAAATTGAATTTGGGCCTTTCTTTTGGCAGGACAGTGCTCTACCACTTGAGCTGTACTCCAGAAATTTTGGTTTTAGTTGATTTTTAAGACAGGATCTTGTGAGCGTTGCCCAGCGCATAATCTTTCTATCTCTGCCATGTCTGTAGCTGGGACTACAGACATGAGTCACTGTGCTTGAGTAAATCATGCAGCTTTGAAGTAGCCTACGTCCCTGTCATTCCCCAGGTCACAGTTCCCCAGGTCCTTGACCACCTGAGTCGAGACACAACTGTACCCCAGCATGTTCTAGAGGACCCACCTGGAGCAGTTGGTAATCTCCATGCTGGACCCCTGGCACGGCCAGCCGCCACACCGGGGGGCAGGGCTGTCGCAGGAGCGGGAGCGGCAGAGGCAGGATCCCAGGGCGCCACCATCCGTGTGCGAGCAGGGCAGCCAGGGAGACCAGAGGCCGAAGCTCCCATCCACAGTGAGATTTCGGGTCTAGAAGCAGGTACAGATAGAGATGTCAGACAGGACAAATATGTGCACAGAATGGCATAAAACCGAAAGGCCTCTCACAAAGCAATCAGGTCCACGCTGGAGAACTATTTTGTTTTACATTACAATGCACGTGGAATGTGTGGGGAAGTAGTTTCAAAGCAAAGTAGGCCACTCATACAGATGGAGAAAGCAGGAAGGAGAGAGAGGAAGGGAAGAAGAGGAAATGGAGAATGATGAGTAAAGGCAGAGGACACAGCCAGGGGAGAGGCAGGCTTGAGAGGAGGAGTGACACTAGAGACTTGCGATTCTGGGTTTGGTCGAATTGTCTACTATTATGGGATACCCAAGGTTGAGAAATACATTCAAGAAACGTAGACGTACAAATCTGTTGTATGCTTATAGGCAAGCCAAGTGAAATAGTTGCTGTTGAAACCTGGCATGGCTCAAATGTCACCTCAAGGTGACAATAAACATGGATTTGAGTTCCTCTTGAACAAAAGCGCTACAGCTGAGGTGTTTCCCAGGCAAAACGCCCCTGTGAATAGCATCTAGGAGTTCAGAGGGCAGACTTTTCTCTCTCTGAATCTAAAAAGAACATGAGTTGTTTTTTTTTTGGGGGGGTCCGGTGGTGGGGCCTGAACTCTGGGTCTGGGCGCTGTCCCTCAGCTCTTCAGCTCAAGGCGAGTGCTCTACCACTTGAGCCACAGTGCCACTTTTGGCTTTTTTTCCTTTTTGCTTATGTGGTGCTGAGGAATCGAACCCAGGGCTTCATGCATGAAAGGCAAGCGCTCTACCACTGAGCCACCTTCCCAGCCCGCATGAGTTGTTTTTTAAGTAAAAGAATGTGAAAAAATTTAGTGTAGTTACTCACGATATCAACATTTACACAGTGTAACAAACATTGATAAATAAATTTATAGACTTCTTTCTGCTCCCCTCCAGGGATGGGGGAGCAAACTGTACCTGAACTCAGTATTGGGAAAAAGAACTGACGATTACTTGTATAGTCTGGGGAAAAAGGAACCCAAGAAGCTACAAACCTGAAACTCATGGGGCTTCATAACTCAGGGGGTGAACCAGAGGTGAGGAACCTATGAATTAAGAACTCGAATTTGTCATGACCCTGCCCAGAAACCGAAGCCACAGACCAACAGATGGCCAAGAAAACTCGGCATCCAGCTGAGCTAAGGGACAGTCAGAGATGCTGCAGGCCTCTGTCTAACCACAGAGCGAGCTCCAACACTCCCTGCATGAGAGAGGGGTGGACAGGGATGCTGAGCCACACGGGGGTCAAGGGATGGCCAGGTTTGGCTCTACAGCTCTGTGTGCCGTGAAAGGTGAGATTCTGGACTGAAGAAGGGCAAGGGAGAAGCACTCCAGGCCCGCTCTTCTTTTATAATAGTAGAACTGATGGATGACATATGTGTTCTCTAGAAGAGAGTAAATATCCTTTGCTCTTTTTGCCCATGATGCTCCTTGGCTGACCACTAGGCAGTGAGACAACAGGAAAGGAAGGCACAGAAGGAACATTCAGACCGCGGAAGGTGTTTCTGTTGTTGTTCAGAATAGCTTTGGCTACTTGAGGTTTTGTGTTTCCATACAGTTTTGGGGGGTTGATTTCTCTATCTCTTAAGAGAATGATGTTGGGCTACTGATGGGTGTTGCACTGACTTTTCAGATCATCTTTGGTAGTGTGCATGTTTAGATTCTTAACTGTATTCTATTATTCTCCATGGGAAAACTGAAGTCTTGCACTATCTATTCCGACATTTTAGAAGGAATCGCAGACCGTTCTTTATTTATTTTCACAGCTCCTTTTTACCTCCTGCCAGAGATTTCAGTGAAACAGGATATTGGATACACTCCTCGGTTGCTTTGTGTTATGACATCAATTTAATAACATATCTAAGCCTGTGTCTACAAATAAATTACAAGGGAAGAAAGCACTTTTGATGGGAGCTAAGCTGGACTGCATGGCTGTGGACAGGACTGCTGAGCAGGGGCCGAGTCTACGCTCTTCCATCAATGAAACGCGGGCAATAATGTCCCTCTGTGGATGTCACCGTGCACATTACATGAAACAATCTAAGTGACAGAATCACATGGGGGACATACCATTTAACCTCAGCTACCTCGTCCTTGTTTTACTGTATATTCCATTATAAAATGTAGACCAAAACATCATGCATACTCTCCAAGCATAGTAAGAAGTGTGAACCTGGGCCATCCATCCCTTCCCCACCATCTCATTTAAGGAGATACTAAAAATGGGGGGTACAATCATTGTGCAGATTAGGGAAGGTCAGAAATATTATATTTAAATTCTAGATTCTTTCCCATTAGTGGAGGGCTTTGGCGAAATGCTTCAGACTCCTGAGGGCTTTAGTTGTGATCACTGCTGAATTTTCCTTTTATCTAAAGGTGTTAGTCACAGCACTCACTGTCTGAAAAGAGACTCAGATGTTTCATGTGCTCTGTGGATCTCAAGTTTTGGGACAGGGACTCATGGAGTTATCAGTGTTCTGGCAATCACATACCCCTAAAACAGACAGGATGTATTTGTGCATAAATAAAGCCCAGGGAGGTTTTTAAGATCACACTGCCCCTGTTAAACATTAAAAATCCTGCAGAATATATCTATCATTTTTAATGTTCTGAATATGATCCTTTAGGCATTAAGTAATTAAAATGCTTTGAAGTGAGATTAATGTTCTCAATTATGATCATACATGCCAGCAGAATGTTCTTCAATATTCCAGTAAACTATTGCCCTGTCTCCTGGACTACAAATAGACAAGCATTTTAAAGCAGGGTTCTTTGGCTCCTTGAAGAGCTTAAACCCCTATAAAGGATATTGGGGGCCAGGTCCCTATTTCACTTTGAACTCCCTTGGGACTGGAGGGTCTATGCAGCTGCTAGGGACTGAATGTGTCCCTCCAAACTTCAAATGTTTCCTACATGATACTAGTGAGAGGTGGCTAGGCAATGAGGGTCCCCTAATAGGAGCTAGAAAGAGGGAACTGTTCTGTCTTTTTCCTCCACCTTCCCTGTGTGAAGCACAAGGCCTCACGAGGCAAAATGTCCGCACATCTAGACTGTGGGAAATAAATGTCCATACATTATACGTGACCAAGTCCCAAGTATTCTTTTATAGCAGCACAAACAGATCGTGGCAGTCACAAATCACAACCACCATGAGCAGTTTGACTGGAACACCCGCTTCGGGAAGCTCAGCGGTGCTCTGTCATTGATTCGGGGGTCAGGAAGATTCACTGGAGAGGCTTACACAAGAGGGTCTTGGGTAATCGTCATATCCACACCTCTCTATGAGCTCAGTATGAGAGGATATCTTCTCATTTAACTTTCATTGTTACGTCTGCTATAAAAATACTTGTTCTCATCCCATAGCTACTAGGTTATAATGTTTACTTTGTTTGGGATAAAGATACATATCTGTGTATGTAAATGCAGGTAAGGTAATGAAAGAAATGTATTGACAGATTATAAATGTTTTTTCTTTTGCATTTTAACATCTCTGAAACTAGCAAATCATGCATGACTGCAACACAAGAGAAATGAGTGTGGCTCAGTAGAAGAATGCCTATATCACATAAATGAGGCCCTGATTTACTCTTCATACACACACAAAAACACACCCCATCTAGATTTGTTTAATGTGTATATATATATATATATATATACAAATAAAATCATATAGAGCAGAGGTAGTTACAACCAATACCACATGAGAAATTACATTTTCCAGTGAGTTTCAAAAACTAAGTTAATTCTACATTCCTGTTGACTTCTTTGTATATTCTGACTTTATCCTAATTGTATCTTGTTGAGTGACACACGCATTGGTGCTATATAATTAAATCACTTGGTATCAGAAGAATACATGTACGTTCATATTGAGACTGCATCAGAGATTGTATCTCAGCTCTACATTCAAGGCACCAGGGCATATCCATTCTGCTCTGTGACTTGAACAGAATGTCCTCTCACTGTCAGAAAACTTTCATGACAACTCTGGCCATTTCTTAACTACTGGATCTGTCCATTTCTTAGTTTTACTGCAGAAGTCTCCAATAAATGTTTGCTATAAAATAAGTGCATGAGTATTAATTTCAAATTTCATAATTAGCATTCTATTGGGTATTCACTCAATCATAGGTCCAAGAACAATGATCATACTGTTTGAAAGGAACTGAACTTGCCTTCTTCTGACTCTGATGTCAACATTCAGTATACAAGGTCAAAGGCATACAGGAAGATGCATTAATCCTTTCAAAGGACATAGCTCTACTTTGAAGTTACATTTCCAGTCTTTCAAAAGATTGTATGGTGCACTTTTGTGCTCTTAAGCTGTTGTTCAGAAATGAGAAGGGACTGAATACATGCTGACATTTTCTAACTATTTTTAAAAGGCATGGGGAAAAAAGCTCCCTTCCATAAACAAAGACCTAAAGCTAGCTGGCCAAAAGTGCTATGCTAAACCTATACGGAAACTTTCAGACCTGGGTGTGATGGGAAATCCACACAGAGCCTTTTATGAAGGCCTCTCTAACTTAACATCTGGGGAATGACATTGGTTCAGAGTCCTGGCCTCCTTCTCTTCTGTCTGATATACCAAGCAGGGGGGCAGGCATCATGTACACATAGTTTAGATCAAGGAAAGGGTAACTTCTTTACAGAAGGAAAGCTAGCAGCCCAAATGTCTCAGGCAGTTTAAAAATATCAGGAAAGGCAAGGATCCCTCATACTTAAATGAATAGCTTTGATTCCTGTGCACTGGTCTCACAGAGCCATGCCAGAATAGCACAGGATGCCTTCGTAACTTTTCAAATGTATGGATATGAATAATCATCATTTATAAGCTAAGGAACAAGAGAAAAAAAATAAAAATTGTTCCAGAAACTTCATCCATAATTTCAGGTACTGGATGTTGAATTCTAATGGAAAACAAAACAAAACAAAAAGCAACTAGTTACTACAAGTGAGAACCCAAATTAGCCAATGAGGAAAGGAAATTGTGGAAATTGCTTTTCTTAGATTCAGGCTCTGGCGCTAAATAACAAGCAAGTTTCTCTTCCTTCCTTAAGGTTCATTGTGGGAACTCGCACTAGAATGTTTCTCGTGACCCTGCGTAATATCCTGTAGTTACTCATCAATCTTTTAAATCTGCACCAGTGCCTGCTTCTGGAATAATAGATCCCAAGGGAAATGTCTGAGTGGAGAAATTTCCATTTTATTAGTGAGACTAGAGACAAACCAGAGTTGACAGCACATTCTGGTGTGAAAAAACATTCCAAGAATCAAAGAGATAGTGTGCTCTTGTGATCAAACCAGCGCTGTTTACTCTTAAGGCATCTAAAACAGACACCCGCCACTCCACAAAACCCCCCAAACAAAAACCATGTGACAATACCCCATGGAGAGTGGATTTAGAAAACATGCTGCATTTGCAAGAATACATGCTCAGGGAAGGCGCGGCCCCGGGGCTGTGTGTGAGAGCTATGCGAGGGCCGGGCCCATGGGAGTTGTTCGTTCTGGCCTGAGCAGATGGGTGCTCACCGGACAGTGTTCGTTTGGGGCTGAGCGGATGGGTACTCACAGGACAGGAGGAGATGCTCTGTTCCCACTGCGTCATGCTGCGGCTCTCCTCCAGGCTCGTGCACTTCTTCATCACCGAGTCCCAGCCACAGTAAGGGTCCTGGGCTCCCATGCAGGTGCTGGAAACAGAGCAGAGGGTCAGCAAAGAGGCAGCCTGGCCAGCCTGGCCCTGGGAGTGGGCGTGGGGTGGTCTGTGGGCCCCAGTGCGAGTGTGTGCACACGGGTTAAGGGGCTATTTCAATAGCACATAGACATCTAATTCTGATTTTTATTGAGATGTATCTATCATTGAAGTTTTAAAATCTGAAACGTAAGGTGGGCTAGCATATGCTAACAGGAGTATTTTTGTGTCGTGAACTGAGCTACAGCCAGAATTTTCTTGCTGAAAATGATCTAGTTGTTACCATCACCTCTAGCCTCTTGATCATCAGTATCACCTGCTGACCTTAACTGGGCCATCAAGTGGTTACCTCATCCAGACGCTGGATGGGAGCACCCAGAGCAGCATTTTCATGTCAACGTTGTCATCACTGTAACCAGCAGCAGCACCACCACCATAATTACTGCTACCTCTTTACTGGTGACGAAACCAAGGCAAGAACAATCTGAGGAACTGGCCCGAGGACAACACACATCTCAACTGACCCACGAGTTTAGTTCTAATCGAGTACCACAGGGGTGTCTTCTTTTGGGTAGCGTAGTTTTAAAATGTACTAAAAATTTAACTCAGTCATAGTTTCATAGAGTGGGAATCACATCAAATATATCTGGCCTATTAGATTACCAGTTTGGGTGGTAATAGCCTATGTACAGCATGGCCATTATTACATGAAGACTCAGGCCCTCATGGCAAATACTAGAAAGGTGAGTAGGGGAAGGAGGAAGTATACAGATGACTGTGGAGGGCCAAAAAAATTTACAGCTGCCACTACAGCCATTCAGCCAAGAAACACCTGGGGACCTCTCAGGGGGCCAGGATGTCCAGTGTGGAGAAAGGGAGGTGATGCCAGCATGCAGGGGTTGGTTTGCCACTTCTGGCTGAGGTGGAGTGCACAGAGCTACCAGTTTCCCAGAAGTAGGACTAGAAATGACATGAAACTACTATACAGGGGGCATAGGGATATAGCTTAAGTACTAGTACTAGAAGAGAGTCGCAGGTAGCATAAAACCTGCTACTCACACACACACACAAAGCACTGTTCTAAGAATGTATCAGATCACTTAAACCTCATAACAACTTGACAACTATACTGACTCAATTCAGGACTACATTTATGTTTATTTTAAAATGAAGAAATGGAAGCAGGGAAATGTCAATTCAAAGCCTATACAGCCAGAGAAGATAAAAGCAAAGAGATACTAGCTCAAAGTATTATTGTTATTATGTAATTATTGTTTATTGGCTACCTAAAGAAGTCAAACAGAAATGGATGAAAATGTTGCATCATGAAGCACAACAGATGCTTGGTGTAAAGGAGCAAAGGGAGGGAAGAATTCATGTATAAAAATATCACAGACATATTTACAAGTATTTATTTAGAAAAAGATAAAAAATTAAGCAGGGTGCCAGTAGCTCATACCTGTAATACTTAGAGATCTGAGGATGGCAGTTCAAAGCCAGCCAGGGAAGGAAAAGCCATGAGACTCTATCTCCAATAAACTACTCAGAAAAGGCTGGACATTGAGCTGTGGCTCCAGTGGTAGAGCACTAGCCTTGAGCAAAAGCAGCTCAGGGACAGCGCCCAGGCCCAGATTTCAAGCCCCAGGACCAAAAAAAAAAATCATAAAAATTGTTTCCCAGAAATGGGGCTGGGATGGGGCTCCACAGAATATGAAACATTTTTTTTAAAAATCATTACACCTTAGATCCTTCCAAACAAAAGTTCAAACAATATAAATATACAGGGAGAGGAGAAAGTGCATTTTCAGTAGTGGTGGTTAATTTATTTCAATAATCAGCTTTATTAAACAGAATTTGACTTGTATTTGTAGTATAGAAAACACGGAAGTTTCTGATAGACTGGAGAGTTCACAGTGAGAAGCCCTAAGCAGGGTGGAGACTCGGGACTGGGCTGAGTCCCTTTGCTTCCTGCTGGCCAACCTCACCTAGAGGTAGGCTTCAGTGTTTCTTGTACTGAGCAAGACTAAATCTCATGTGGATGGGCAAAGAAGACAAAATCCAGTAAGCAATTATCCCAAAGTCCTCCCAAATATTTGCATGTCCTTATCAAAATATTATGACATTTGAGTAAAATTAAACTTCCCAAAGGGGGAAATTCCAAAGTCCTCTCCAGTGATGTAGGTCTTCATCCTCCTACTGGCTTCCTTGGAGACCCTGAACACGGCCAGTGTGTTAGAGGAAGTATGTTAAACCATTTAAATCAAAGTCTGCCTATAACAATAGCTCCATCTTCCTATTATGATGATGGTTAGGCATGCTCTTAACATTCCAATTATCCTTTTCGTATGACAACCTCTGTTCGAACGCAAATGCCCATGCAGTACAAATATTGTGTGTATAATTTCCTCATATAAAATATTTTATATTGTGGGCCAAATTTTGATGAGCTCTTCAAATTATAGTTTAAGAAAAACCAGTCATCTCAAGTTATTTTTGGAAGTTGGGGCTCTTTAAGAGACCATATGGAAAACCATGAGTTTCTGATTAAAGTGGCCATCATAAAAGTATCTTTTCTTGATTACACTTTGAAATGTTTTTCCTCATGTGATCAATTTTTTTCCCCACTTAAGGCTGGCACTCTACCACTTGAGACAGAGCTGTACTACACGTGAGGAATAAATTTAATAAGTTTGAGATTTGAGCTTTCTCCAATTTGTTGAAGTAGCACTCAAAGCTATACATTTTCCTATGAGTACCGCCTTACTGTGTCCTAGAGTGGCTGGTATTTTGTGTGCTCTTTTTTGTTAAATACCAATGAATTTCTATTCCAATCTCTTCAATGATCCACTGGTGATTCAACAATGTGTTGTTCAGTTTCATGAGCTGCAGGATTTTACATTATGGCTTTTGGTGTTGAGCTTTCATTTTATTTTGTTGTGGTCTGAGAGAATGCAGGGAATAATTTTAATATTTCTAAATTTGCACAGATTTGCTTTGTGCCCTAAAATGTGATATATTTTGGAGAATGATCTATATTCTGCCAAGAAGGATGTATATTATGGTGTCACTGGGTGGAATATACTGTAGATGTCTGTTAAATCTAGTTGGTCTATATAATTGTTTAGTTCTGAAGTGTCTCTGTTGAGTTTTTGCTATATTGATCTACACAGAGGTGATAATGGTGTGTTAAAGTCACCATCGATCAATGTTTTTGGATCTATGTGTGTTTTTAGTGTAAGTAGTTCTTGTTTGATGAAGTTGGGTGCTCTGTCATTGGTGTATAGATATTTAGGATTGTTATATCTTCATGTAGGAGAGATCTCTTTATTTTTAAGTAATGGCATTCTTGGTGTCTCCTAACTAATTTTAAGTTGAAGTCTATTTTATCTGATATTAGGATTGCAACTCCACGCTGTTTATGAGGGCCAGTTGCTTGATAGATTTTACTCCAGTTTTTCACTTTCAGAGTGTTTTTGTAGGAAAGATGTGTCTCTTGAAGACAGTGGAAAGATGGATCTTGTTTTTTGATCCAAATAGTCAATGTAAGTCATTGAATTTTATCAAGAAATCTAATAAAACAGATGTTGCCAGGGATGTGGCCAAAAGTGAATGTTACTACACTGTTGGTTGGAGAGGAAACTTGTTCAGCCCCTCTGGAAAGTAGTATGGAGGTTCCTCAAAAGACTAAACATAGGCTCCCCTTTGACCCAGCAATCCCACTCCTGGACATTTAACCAAATGACAATGGGCAAGACCATACTAAAGCTACCAGCACAACCATGATCACTGCAGCATTGTTTATTATAGCTAAGATATGGAACCAACCCAGATGCCCTTCAGTAGATAAATGGATCAAGAAGATGTATTATATATACATAATGGAGTTCTAGACTTCTATCAGAAAGAATGACATCGCCTTATTTATAAGGAAATGGGAAGACCTGGAAAAAATTGTATTAAGTGAAGTAAACCAGGCCCAAAGAAAAGTAGGTTGCATGGTTTTCCTCATTTGTAATAACTAGAACATGTCTATGATATTTTTAACAGGGGATCAAACAGCCCAAATGGCTAAGTGCATAGAAGCATATCAACATGAACTCCAAGAATTGGAAACCAGAGGTTCTTATTATGTCTTGTATGCAGTTATTTCTGTATTTTTGTTTTAGTTTTCTGTATCCTTTGTGTATAAGTTTATGCGATAAATGGAAGGGAAAGGAAATCATAGGAACAGCAGGACAAAGGATGAACTAATCTAACAATGATACTCACTTGACCCTATATTGGAAATGAACTACACAACTTGTGGGAGAGGAGAGTAGGGAGGGCTAGCAGGAGATAACAAGGGAGAAATGTATTCATTATCTTAGTTATGTAACTGTAACCACCTGTTCATCACCTTTACAATAAAGGTATTTTAAAAAAGTTAGAGATTGAGTCCATCATTCCCCACTGATTACACAGAAAAACATCATTTTGTGCCCCATAAATATATACAATCATAATTTGCCAGTATTCAATATTTTCCCATAGTGTATTAGTAACTTTATATTACTAGCTTTTTATATATTTCCCTGGCACAAAGTATCTGAATTCAGCTAACAATGTTGGTCAAAAAATACAAATGTCTAATTTGGAAAATGTATTTATTGAGAGTATGTTTTAGAGATTAATATATTTAGAGGCAGATTTTAGGTTCTAGAAGTCTATGTTTTAACTTAAATTTATTTTCACTGATGAATGAGAAACATGAAGAGAGAAGTTGTAAGCTACTGTAATCCCAGTCACTTGGAAGATGGAGGGCTGAAGGACTGGTTCCAAACCTACCTCACATGAAGTTAGCAAAAACCTCTCTCAAAACTAAAACCAATAACTTGTACTTCCTAAGATAGTATCTGTGATGTTTCCATGCAGGTACTCACCACATAACATTTAAGCCAGTTTAAATCTATGTCTTCTAACATTCATCATTTTTTTAAAGTGGAAAAACTGTCAAAATAA